CTGGTGCAGCCACTATGGAAAACAGTATGGAGATTCCTCAAAAAATCAAGGATAGAACTACCATACGATCCAGCTATTCCACTGCTGGGTATTTTATCCAAAGAACGTGAAAACACCAATGCATGAAGAAACATGCAACCTTGTGTTCACTGCAGCGTATTCACAATAGCCAAGACTTGGAAGCAACCTAAGTGCCCATCAAGGGACAAATGGATAAAGAAGATGTGGTCTATATACATAATGGAATACTACTCAGCCATAAGAAATGATGAAATCCAGCCATTTGTGACAACATGGATGGACATTGAGGGCATTATGCAAAGTGAAATAAGTCAGAGGGAGAAGGTCAAATACCATATGATCTCACTCATTAAGTAGTAGATAATAACAACAACAAACAAATACATAGAGACAGAGATTGGATTGTTGGTTACCAGAGGGGAAGTGGGGAGGGAGGAGGGTGAAAGGGATGATTAGGCACATGTGTGTGGTGATGGGTTGTAATTAGTATTTGGGTGGTGAACATGATGTAATCCATGCAGAAATAGAAGTATAATGATGTACACCTGAAATTTATACAATGTTATAAACCAATGTTACCACAATAAACAACAACAAAAAAAGAATCTCATGGGTGGTACCTCAGTCATCAGTATTTTAAAAATACGGTCATACACCACATAACAAGGTTTCGGTCAACGACAGACTGCATATACAACAGTGGTTCCACAAAATTAGTACCGTATAGCCTCGGTGTACAGTAGGCTATACCATCTAGGTTTGCCTAAGGATACTCAGCGACGTTCACACGACAAAATCGCCTAACAATGCATTTCTCAAAACAAATCCCCGTCATTATGTGACGCATGACTATATGCAGCCAAAGTTGAAAACCACTGATTAAAGTAATGACAAGAAGTTTCAGGGAAGTTTATCATTTTATTTTTTTAATTTATTAGTTATTCATATTCTACTCTATTCTAGAAAAGAATTAAGCAGACTGACAATAATATATAAACTAAATTAAAAGTGACGACAAAATAGCAGGGGTGAAAAAAGAAAGCAAAACAAAGATGAAGACATAAAATGGAACCCAGTAAGAAACTAAAAATGCACAATATGATGATGAACACTTGCCACACAAATTTGGGAAGCAGGATCAGTATCATAATATGGCCACAAGTACAAATACTCTTGGCAATTAGACCAAAGAGGAATTTGCCCAGGGAGCCTCACAGTGAGAACAGTGGTGATGAAATTCTGCCTGGGTATCTGCCAGGCTTACCTGCTAAGCTTTTGGCTCACCTACATCTAAATGCCATCACTAAATCTAGCTTAAAAATACAAATGAAAAAAAAGTCTAAAGAATCAAAGAAGAGCTTTCTTTTTTTTGTGTAAGGAAGATCAGCCCTGAGCTAACATCCATGCCAATCCTCCTCTTTTTGCTGAGGAAGACCAGCTCTGAGCTAATATCTATTGCCAATCTTCCTCCTTTCTTCCTCTTGTTCTCCCCAAAGCCCCAGTAGATAGTTGTATGTCATAGTTGCACATCCTTCTAGTTGCTATATGTGGGACGTGGCCTCAGCACCGCCTGACAAGTGGTGCGTCAGTGCGCGCCCCGGATCCGAACCCAGGCTGCCGGTAGCCGAGCGTGCATACTTAACCTCTAAGCCACGGGGCTGGCCCCAAAGAAGAGCTTTCAAAATGTAAGAAAACAAAAGCCCTATGGCAAACCCCCTGAAAAAAGACAGAGCCACCTTAGTCTATACTTAATAATATTTTGTTTTTCCATAAAAGCAACTACAGACCAAATAAGAAAACACAAAATCTGTGTCTTTTTTTGTTTAATTAGAACAGAAGGTAAAGTCTGTGTAGATGACCATGTCCAAACCTGCTCACTACCTCCCATCTCCCGCCTTGGTAATCCCTGTACCTGAATCTGTTCGTGGCTGGGGTGGTTTCTGTGTTAAATTCGGCCACTGGCACTCCCCTGGCAGACACCTGGGGGGCGAACATGGCGGCAGGATAAACCACAGAGGAAGTTCCCACCTACAAAGCAAGTGGAAACGGACAAATGACCACACCATGAAGACAAGAAACATGTTTTTCAGAAAACCTTACATAAACTTGAGCGCATTTGTGGTTGCAGGTGTGAGGGAAGCTAAACTGGATGAGATAAACGGAGAGCGTCTACGGGACAAATGGGAAGTTGGAAGGCGTGCTTTCGGCTGATCGCTAGAACTCAAGAAGACGTGATGTGAAAAGGAGAGTTGTGCAAATGGAGAGAGTGGCAAAGAAATGACTCAGTCATCACCTTTTGGGGGTTAGTTTTATTTTTGTTTCTGCTCTTCGAAGTGATGCAAATAATCCACGTTCTTTTTTTTATAGTTAAAAAATTCAAAGAAAAAACATATATTTGTCATTCATAATCCTACTACTCCACGATAACCACTGTTCACATTTTGATGTATATTTTTTCAGGTTTTCCCTATGAATATATGTTTATAAACATTCTTTACAAGAACAGGAGACCAGAACATGTTTTGCAAACCAGCTTTTCTCACTTCAGCATCTATCATGAACAATGACACTATACTCAACATTGGGATGCACTCAATAAATACAGGCTGAGTGAATATGCATCAATGAGACACTACCTTTGCTTTTAAAGATGTGTTAAGGGAGTTTTGAAATATGCATACCCTTTGTCCAATTAATTCCACTTCTAGGAAATTTGTCCTAAGGAAATAATTTGAAGAGCATGCTAAGACTTACATCTGAGGATATTCACCATAGCATTGTTTAAAAATCAAAATCTGAAACAGCCTAAATGTCCAACAACAGAGCATTGGTTAAATATATCATTTTATATCCACACAATAGAACAACATGCAGCCAAGTAAGAGACAACGTGTATTTGGATGTACTGACAGGGAATATGCTAAGTGAATTGCTACGTGAATAAAACAGTTTCAAAGCAGAACACATAATATGAACCCACTTTTGAATTGTGTACATCTGCAGACCAGGGACGGGCAAACTTTTTCTGTAAAGGGCCAGATTTTTTATGTTTTGCAGGCCATACAATCTCTCTCACAAATACTTAACTCTGCCATTATAGTGTGAAAGCAGCCATAGACAATACATAGAAGAATGGGCATGGCTGTGTTCCAATAAAACTTTACTTACAAAAACAAATGGCAGGCCAAATCTGACCCATAGGCCATAGTTTGATCACCTCTGATCTAAAAGAAAACACACCAAAATGCTAACAGTGACTAGCTGTGGATGGTGGAATTATTGGTGATTTCTAATTTTATACTTTTTTGTATTTTCTCAAATTTAATGAGCATTTATTACTTTCAAAATCAGAACCAATAACAGGCTTTTTTCATTATTTATGGGGGAATGGGAAGGCTCTGAGAAGCCCAAGACATAGTCTTACATAGTTTCATATTTTAAGATCTATGCTTATTCATCGTTTCTTAGTTTTTCTGTAGAGTACCACAAGACCCCTCAACATACACCTTAAGAGAAGGGAGGAAGGGAGGGAAGGAGAGGGAGAGGGAGAAAGGGTAGGAGGAGGAGTGAGGGGGTTGGGGGGGTAGAGGAAACAACAACAAACTCCACCCCAGTCCTGGTGTTTCAGAAAATTCCGAGGATCATGGACTTACCACTAGACATAAGTCACAGAGTGCCAACTCTCTGTCAACCTGCTCCAGGACGGCAGGATCCAGGTTTTCTCCAAACCACACTACATGGGGTCGCAGCAGGCCCCCACATCCTGCCTCTTCACACCTGTAAGAAAGTTATCTTGAACCAACCCAAGACCTGCATTGCCAGAAGGTCTGCCCAGTGATCAGAGGAAAGCTAGGGGCTACCCCAAATCCAGGCTGTCCAGATAGGTCACTTTGATACGTCTCATCCCCTGTCCCTTCCCTCCTAGCCCATATGAGCTCGCCCTGAATATGAAGTACTAATTTTAACTGCCTTTATAAAGTTCTTATTTTGTCTGGATGCACTGGATTGTCTGTTGACAAATGTGTTTCAGCCAAGCTTGACCTTCTCTTTCTAAACAGCTTTCTCTTTCCCAGTTACTTCACCATGCTCATTGGCACAATTGTGCTCACAGTAACCCAGAGCTGGGAGGAATACTGGGCTCAGATTTGCCTCCAACACACCAACCACCCCCTAATTTCATCAATGACCTCCTTTCATTTGCTCTCAGATTCTCCTCTCTCTTGCCCTGTCTATAGCCAAGATCTCCAGTGTCGATTACTAAAAATCTCTCATCTTTCACTCCCTACTACCTCTAGGTCATCTTATATATACTTCCTAAAATAATCTCCCCTAAACATTTTCATCACGTTAATCTCCTACTCAAGAACCACTGGGATTCCCTATTCTTTTAGACTGAAACTTTAGAATCTAGTAATGAAAACCCTTATTAAGAAAAATAAGCGTTCTGTAGTCAAATAAACCAGTAAAATATTAACGTATTATAACCACTTTTTAGAGAATAACAATGAGCATATTAAATATTCTGAGAAGGCCTGCGGTAAGGCAAACGTACTTTAACTTTGTTTAATCTAGTGTTTACATATTTATTTGAGCACATATTTTTTTTCAAGTAATGCCTATCAACATCACATGGACCTAGAGCTCTATGAAACACTTTTGGCAGCACTGTTCTAATGTCTGGTTTTGAAAAACTGACATAAAAATCTTTCTAGAGGTTTTTTTTTTTTTTAATCTACAAAAATCCTGTTTGGTCCTATAATTTCACATTTGCAAGATCTTTTGCTACCTCCATAACCTTGGATTAATAACAGTGATGATGAGGGGGAGCATGAAGACGACAGCAGTTAGCATTTATTGACCAGTTACAGTCTGCCAGCCTCTGTGCTTTATAGACACCGGATAAGCATCTGTAGGATAACAGCTCCAGAAGCTTTCCAGACCTCAAACTATCCCGCCATCACACAAAGCAAAAAGGGACTGGGAAGCAGCAGTCCTCTGGACCCTGGTCTGGTTCATCCTTTGTCGCTTTGCCTTTGGCCTCAGAGGTCAGGGCTGGTTTTTGCATTTGTGCATTTAAAAGGCATCCCCCCAAATGAACTTAGATTTTGGTTCCTAATTTTCTTTTTTTGAAATCTGCAACACCAAATACAGACCAAAGTTTTTTACCCACCGGGGAAGTTGCTCAACTGGGATTCTGGCGTCTTGAGTTTCAGGTTCTGGAGCACTGAAGTAAATAACACAAAGAAAGAATGTCATTGGTATAATCAAAGAACAAAGAAATAACATAAACCAATCAGCTTGTATATTTGCCTGGAAGTATATGGTACAAAACTCCTAATTAATACATGCTGACTTAGAAGGGACTAGAAGGATAGACACCAAACAATTAATTACCAGTGGTTTTACCTCAAGAAAGGGAATTTGTATGCGGAGAGGGGTGGACCAGCCAGATGTGCTAAGGGGGAGTTTCAGGATTTGCACTGTGTATGTCACCATAATTTGAATCTTCTGCAATGACATTACATTAATATGTTACTTATATAATTTATACTGATTTAAAATGGCCAGGTAGAATTTTTCTCAATATTCTGAGTCTACCCTTAACTTTTTCCCCTAATTATAATAATAGTACCTGTTTATCATAGAAATGTTGGAAACTTTAGAAAGATCTAAAGAAGAAATCAAAATCACCCATAATCCCACCACTCCGGATAACCACTGTTAATATTTTGTTATATTTCCTTCTGGTCTTTTATCTATATACAGGCACATCAACATGGGGTGTGTGTGTATGTGTGTGTGTGTGTTTAAACACAAAGTTGGGATCATATTGTATAGAATTAGATCCTGTGGTTTTCACCTAACATTGTAAATTGTCAGCAAACTATTTCTTTTATCATATGGCTGTACTGTATCTAGTCTTATTTCTCATAAATATCCATGGGGATCTTAGATTACGGTTCAATTTCCTCGAATTTATGTTCAGTCTAACAGAGAAAACAACATACACTTATTTTATAGTGCAGTATAATTACCCTTTTCCTGATAAAGCTTGACAAATTGGACTCTTGTAATTCGCAGCCACAACTCCACAAGAGGTACATCGCGTTTTAAATAAGCTACCTGAAAAACACAAGTGAAGCAAGATCAGAACTTAGTGTAATCAAGAGCAATTGTGTCCATGTCTAAAAGGGTACAAAATAATTTAGTTTTTATATGTTCATTTTAGCAAATGGGCCTACTCTAGGTATCATGGGAAATGTAAGGGCATACAGCACTACTGAACAAGCCAAGAGCATCTGCCCTCCTGGACTTTATAATCTGGAGGGGAGAGAGACAGATGGAATAACTTACTACATGACTGCGGACCTCTCACATTACCTTGGAGTGATGTTCAGGTGGAAGTGAAGTGGTTGGTAGGGTGGGTGGAGCCAACCTAAACCTAAGAGCGTGACTTACTAGGTATATGATGGATAAAGGTTCAGTAGCTCAGGATGTGTTCACAAAACCTTAACTTCAACTTAACAAAGCTTGAATCTTTTATCCAAAAGCAGCTCAATGAATAAATAATCAACTAACAAATGAAGAAAATAATTGTTAACACTAGCAACCATTTATTGAGCTAAAGCAATAACGGTGAACACAATTCACTAAATATTCACCATATGCCCAGGGCTGTGCTGAGCATGTTACACACCGTAGTGGACATATAATGTTCTCTTCTCTCCAGTATTACTTCTTTGGGGACCCGTCTCTCCTCCATCCCATGCCAAGGTGATGGAGCTGTCAGTCACATTCCAAAATACAAGCTTTGGCACAAGTTCTAGACTGTCCGATCATAGTACCCTGTCCCTCCAGCAGCAGTGTCTGGTCAAAAGGGAGGTATGTGACCAAGCAAGGCCATCCAGAGGTTTATTTTCTGAGGAGACGGCTAAGCCAGAGCGAGCCTGGAGCCGCCAGATGCCGCCATCGCTGGCACCTGGAGGCAGATCAAATGCAGGGGGAGAGGTGAGGTTAACTCCTAGAGGACAGAAAGCTGAGGGAAGCAGAGGGAGAGAGGCAGGGAGACAAAGAAAGGGAGTCTGCTGAGACGTTAGCTCCACCCCAGGGCTCCTCAGTGGTGTGAGCTAACATACCTATCTTGTCAGTTTTAGCGTGGCCATTTTTCCCCATGTTAACATCTCTGAAATTTGGATTGTGTCCTAAAATTGCTACTGGCCAGATGACGGCTGTGACGTGGTTGTCGTAGCCTGCACTTGCTCAGACTCGTTGAAGGATAACACTGATGACTGAAACGTGTGGCGACCTGGTGGTTGTTCTCGGTGGCCTGAGCGGACGAAGGTAACCCCCAGATATTTCAGCCGACAAACCATTGAAGGGCCATTTGGGGAAGAAAATGAGTCCTGGTTATTCTCTAGAACCCTTCCACGGTCACCCTTTGGTAAGATCAGAAGAGACCCAATATCAAACTAGCAGAATGTGTACAGCAGCTTGAAAGAGAACCCCAGAGATAAGAGAGGAGCAGCCTGAGGGAATGCTGCATCACCGATCCCCTTGATGGCCCAGAGCATAATACTGTGTGGAAAAAGCAGACACGGAGGCCTCGGAGTCACTCAGAAGTAATTCAGAAGAGCTAGATAGTGAGAAATATCTTAACCACTCTATTTCACTCATATTTTGTTTTTTATTTGCACAAGAGTGATATAGTTTCTAAAAACCTGCGTCTAAGTAAATTTTAACAAGCCCTTTCTACAACAATAATTAAAATAACAAATAAAATAATAATCCTAAGGAATAATAAAATAAAATATCATGATTTAGGCAGATTATTTTCTTTCTGAGTGTCACATTAAAAACATAATTCATCTTAAAATTGATGGCATCTTCAGTTTGATGGAAAAAGGGGCTTTCTTTGAATTTTACCTAAATGAGAAGAGAGTTCTCATCACTTGCAACCAAAAAAGTCCCAACTAAGATGCATATATTATCTGACTTGATCCTTAAAACAACGCTGTAAGATAGGCCTTATCATCCCCATTTTATACATGGTGAGTGACACAGCCTATATTCTGACACTGCAGAGAAATGAGAAGAGCCACATGGAAAGTGGCCCAGAGCCAGCAGAAGGTGCCAAAGAAACACTCAGTAGGTGGCTGACTGTTGCTGGGACACCAAAGAGAGATGAGATCCAAGAGAACAAGGCTCAACTTTCATTATCAGGGTGACCACAAGACTAGGCAAAAATTAGCAACTTCACTGTACACACACAAAAACAAGCAACGTTCTCCACGGGGTCACTGCTTCTGGAAATTCCATAATTAGGAATGTATTCCTTGGGATTGAATTTTGTAGACTCTTAAATACAAATGCCCTTGGGAAGAAATCCTTGCACGCCTATTTATGCTCTTGTACGAATGAATTTATTAGATTTTTGGTGAGAGCAAAGAAGGAAGAGGATTAAGAGGACTAGAGGGAAAAGTAGGGTGTCATCAGGACAGAGAAGGGAAGCCCGAGGGACCCAGGACAAACTCCACAGGGTGTCACAAACTTGGGCGGCTTGCTGCAGTGAAGGTCACTGAGCTGGCAGCTTCCCAAAGGCTCCAGGGCTGAGCAGAGGCACAGACTCAGTGGAGAGTGCCGATCAGGGGACAGAAATGGATACCCCCAAGAATGCCAAAGTGTTCCCATTCGGGGTCCTGCTAAAGCCACAGCTGTTCAATGCCCCAAACCTCCCATTTCCCTTCAGCCCAGCTGGGCAGTTGTCTTAGAGCACAACACCCCTCAACAGAACTCCCCAAGGAGGGGAGTTCATGCAGCTGTGCAGACCAGAGCTTCTCCAGTGCCATGTGCAGATGAGACACAAGGGCATCTTGTCAAAATGCAGATTCTGATTCAGTTGGTCCAAGTAGGAAATGGAAGGACACGTGTTTTAAAGTCTGGCTCCCCTCCCCATGTGAGGCTGAGGGTCCCTCACCATGGATTTCCAGAAGGTTCTTGGTGCCAGCCTTGCGGTGCAGCTCATCAATGTTTTGGGTGATAACCATGACCCATCGGCCCTGCTTGTGCAGCCGGGCCTCACATTTGGCGATGGCGAGGTGCCCGGGGTTTGGCTCCTTGCTCTGCATGACCTCCCGCCGGTAGTGGTAGAACTCCCACACCCGGGACGGGTTTCGGGCAAAGGCCTGAGGAGTGGCCAGGTCCTGGGGGTGAGAGAGGAGGCAGGAGTCAGGCAGGGAAAGAAACGCTAATGCCCTGAAACATAGGCAGCAGGGGTGCTGAACCGCGGGGTGACAGCCAAATGTTGGGAACACGTGCAGGCCCCTTTTTCTCTAAAACAGAGGCAGGCTGCCTAGGGAGGGTGCAAGTGGGAACACACCTGCTGTAGGTTCACACGGTGTGGTGGACACAGGACAGGGGCCTGGGCACCAGCCTGTGTCCCAAGCCTGGGACTAACAAGGGTCCTGGGAGAAATCAGTTTTAATTTCCCCAATCATAAGGCAGGGATAATGCAACCTGTCCCATTTACCAATCAACTAAATTATGAACACGAAGTAAAGTAATAGGCAGGAAGGTAATTTAAGTTGAATCTACTTTTTCATGGAGCCTCAAAATATGCCAAGTCAATCTCATTTATCCAGGAAAAAAAGTGAAAGGCAAAATGCTTGACTGAGGTACCATGACCATAGTTGAAAAACTCAGTTTTTATAACTATAATTATAGCTACGCATACAACTACACATATAAAACACAGGATAATGTTATATTAACCGAATATATAAAAACCATATATTTTTTTTTTTTATATAATTAGGTTTGTTTTTGTTTATTGCAGTAACATTGGTTTATAACATTGTAAAAATTTCAGGTGTACATCATTGTACTTCTATTTCTGCATGGACTAAAAACCATATATTTTAAAGTACGATTCCTCTTCTAGGAAAAACAAATCTCATCTATGGTGAGAGCAGAGCAGTAGCTGTCTGGGGCTGGTAGCTAACAGGAATAGGGCATAAGGGAACCTTTGGCAATGACTGAAATAGTCTATAACTTGCTTGTGGCAGTAGTGGTATTATGCATTTTATTTTACTATAAAGGTCACCCTTCTAGCTGGTAGGAATGTCAGCCTTCATTTTGGGAGTGGATCATCTACGCTGTGGATTATCCACGTGGACCCTGTGCTTCTCTCCCATCCTGCCCTCCACCTACAACGTATGGTAACCTGAAGCAGTGTACAGGTGGTACGTGAACCTGCATGTATGTGTCCTTGGGACACAGCTGGAGTCAAACACTTTGCTTCCCCACAAACTCTGAGCTGCCCTGACGTGACTGACCACCCGACGAGAAGCTGCTCCTGTACCCGCAGAGCCCCCACCCCGCTTCTCTAACTCAGCAGTGGCTCTCTGTGGCTCCTCTTTCTTGTGGGACCCTAATGGCCCTCTGCCCTTCTTTCTTCCCCACTTTACCTCTAAGATGACGATCCCCACATCCACATCCCCAGGCCTCGCCTGGAGGGCAGCGGAGAGCTGACAACACATCTTAAACATCTGCCAGCCTGAGATGTTTAATAGAAGAAGGAAGGGCAGGTTCACTAACCCTTCACTCAACAAGAAATTACCTACCAAATTTGAAAGTCATGTATTAAAGTAATTATTTATGATTGCCTTCATTCGCCAACAAAAAATCTATTAAGCACCTACATGTGCCCGAGTTCTGGGAGCTGGGGATGGAGCAATGAATAAAACAGAGAAAATTCCCTGCCCGCCCTCCAAAACCAGGGATTTCCAGGGTGGGGGGAGGGGAGGAGACTGACTGAATGTTCCTTGAGGGAACATTCTGGGGCACAGAAATGTTCTACAACATGATCGTGATGATGGCTACACTACTGTATATATTTCTTACAACTCACTGAATTGTACAATTAAAATTGGTGAATTTTATTGTATGTATATTAATACCTCAGTAAAAACTGAATTAAAAAAATCCAGGCCCTCATAGAACTTACCATCTAATGGCTTTCATATAAAGTTTTGAACATCAAACCCTAAGCCCTCAACAATTCAACTTTGGTTTTAATATGAAAAGTTCACAGAAACTTTAAAAAAAATTTGTAATACTTAATTTCAGTATCTACAGAAAAGTAATGAACTACGCTAATCAAGGATTTCTGATTCCACTTTAATTACTAGAAGAAATCTGTTATCTGCATAAATGCAATCTACACATATTTAGAAAGTAAGGAAAGTGGCTGCTTTGCTTAAAACTGAGCTCTTAATCGTACAGACTGTGTGTTGATGCCAAAATGAACCAAAGAGTCATAGTTAATTTCACAACTTTTCCCTCTGGGTTTCAGGCGTCAGTATAGGTTCTGACTCCAACTCTGTTACGGCTTCACTCACAAGAGCCTCTTCGTGTTCTGGAAACATCACTCACCTGAGCTTGCCATTTTCTCCAGTAACCTCCGGCTCCTCTGAAAGTCGGAACCCCACTTTCAGCACTAACACCAGCCCCTGAAATGACAACTATGTGCTTCGCTTTTGCAAAGCACTTCCGAAAATCGGCCATATCTAAAGAGAGAATAAAATCTTCATCAACGCAGGGTACCACTTGGGCAGGGTACCACTTGGGCATTTACAACCCACATCAATTGACTGTATTTTGAAACAGGACCTCGCGTGAAATTATACTTTAAGACATCCAAATAAAAATCATTCCCATACCACGAAGATGCCATCCATGGGGCCTGATGTGTGAGTGAAGAGCAACTTAAGAAAGAAGCAGGGGCTTGGGGCACACAGCACTGGCTGTCTCAGCTCCGCCCCCATCCAGTCATCTGATCTTATGTGAATGACTACACCCCACCCCCGCCACTATCCTGGGACTCCTCGGCTGTTTGATGTGCACAAACAGTGCCTTCCCTTGAGCTGGGCTGTTAGGAAGATTAAAAAAGGCTAATGGATGGGCATGCATCTTCCTTCATAAAAGTAAAAGCAAGCTTGTGTGTGTGTATGTCTGTGAGGGCTGAGCGGAGGCCCAATGGACCCTAAAGCCTTCCTTTCCTCCCCAAATTCCCTTTTCTTTGGGGATCTTGCAAATTTTAGCTTCCTTCAGCTTCACTACCAAGGTGAGGACGAGGGCCCCTCTCCTGTGAACAAATGCGCAGCCCCAATGTGGACACACAACCTTCTCCTTTACAGCTAAGAGTTGGACTTTTCAACAAGACGCCACCAGAGACTTGGGGTAAAGAAGGGAATTGAACACAGAGAATAGCACAACAGCAGGTAATCATGGTCACAGACTGTGGCTGGCCCTCCAGGACGCAGGCCCTGGCCTGCATCTCCAGGCATCTTCCCGCCTGATCTCAGACCAACGGGAGCAGCAGCCATCACTTAGTCAGGGCGCCCCTCTCCCCGGGCTCTGCGCCAGGCATTTTACGTGGATCACGAGGTGGAGTTTGCCCCTGAAATAAACATCCTCATCCCAGGACAAGAATCAGGAGCCAGACTTGAACGGCCCTTGTTTCTCTTGGGCAAGGTTAGGTCAGGGCACAGCACACGGCTGAGAGCAACACCCTTCTCTCCCGGGCGCCGCGGCTCTGCAGGCCCTCGTGTGGGTGAGTGCCATGGCCTCAACAGGCCAGGCCCCAGCAGTACAGAGCTGAGCGTAAGCTGCCAGGAGAAGAGAGATGCCATCTTCTGCCCTCCACTTGGAGACGCAAGTGCCGGACCAGCACTGCCTGTGGCCCTGGACACAGACATCTTCCAGAAGTGGCCAACCTGTACCAGAGCATTGAAGATTCTAGCAAAAGTGGAAGCGAGTTCCTCAGCTGATGGAGCAGGCTTTCTGGTCTTGCCCCCTGGAGGCAATGGCAACCAAAACTAATCCTTGGACTGAATGAGCGTCCCCTGAGAGATGGAACTGGTGACAGACAGGATGGAGGAAAGGAAGAAAGATGGTAGGGTAGGGGCTTAGAGAAAACGAACTTGAATATCAAAGGGAGTCTGACTTCATTTTGTACCCCAAGCTGTAAGGCGGATTCTATTGGTTTCTCATACTTGATGGCTCCCTCTAGGCAGGGATGGGACTTCCTCATCCTCAAGAGCCCAGAGCTGCCTCTGTGGCTGGCCCAGGATAGAGAATCTGAAAAAAGGCTCAATTTCTCCTCCCTTCTCTTCCTCTCTGACTGCTGGTAAGAATGAACAGAGTAAAAGCAGACTCTCAGAAACAAAGCAGCAGAGGGTTCCAGCTCCCGCTCTGGCTACGTTCCTGGAGCTCTCTAGGACCATGCTTTCGGCAGTGTAAGGCTCAGAGGACTGAAGATGGTTCAGGCACACTGTTCCCTTCACATATAACCAACTCAACTACCTGCCAACCATGCTAATGCTCTGCCTAAACTCACGTCCCTGTCACAGATAGATGGGCGTGAAAAATAAGGCCCGCTAAAGCTGTCCAACCAGGAAGAATTTGGAAAAAGAAACCCGTTGGATTAGAGTTTGTAGTCTGATCTAATCTCCCAAAAGAATAAGATGCTTAAGATAAAACGTACAAGTACTTTTCTAGGAACTGTTGGTGTGACTCCTGGGTTCAAACCCTACACACATCTTTAACAAGTTCAAAGTTTACCCATAAAACTTTCCCCGGCCCTAAAGGTCTTTTCTGCCCCAAATGTAAACTCTGTCATCCCACTGATGAATAGATTCCTAGGTCAGAGTGATTTTTATTAAGGTACCACTTTAAGCAACTTCTGGAAACCAAAAAGTCAACTCAGGTTTGGTTCTTAGAAAACAGGACGTTAGATATAATGATGTTGAAGTGGTACGAAATCTTTTTAACAAAGGCATTTCCCAACTGCTAAAGAAAACACACCAGTGTGTTCTGCGGTTCCAAACCTAGACAGCCCATTTTTGGCCCAGATCAGGCACACACTGTGGGTCCCGTCACAGCCTCTAACAGCCTGCCCTGCACAGCTGTGAACACCAAGAGGTTGGGCGGCTGAGCGGAACTGGGTTCTCTGGGTGCTTTTCCGTTCCTGAGATTGGGCAAGATGGATGGAGAGTGATTACATCTGAGCAGACTCACAGTAATAGAAAAAGTTATCCAAACGTTGAAAATGAGGGAAAAAGAGTTCAGCTTGCCCTTCAATGCCATATTGAAGCACTGTTTAACAGGCCCACCTGAGGATCATTTTTTTATACAAATCTGTTAGACTCTGTACTCAACATAGACGAAGGGCCCCGATATGTTAACTCGTAGGTTTTTGTCAGGTAGAGATGCAAATTGTTTCTGTCCAGTAGAAAATTTAACCCCATACTACCCTATAGGACAATCGCCAGCTTTCCTCCCCTACAGAGAGGTGATGAGTTTAAAATACAAATCATGTGTGAAAAGCTTAAATGCAAATATTCCAGGAGAAACAGTAAAACGTCTCGAATGGACTTAACTTGACTATTAAGAGAGAATCTCTGACCCTGTCCTGGAAGGGGCCTGCCTAAGGAGAAGAAGAGGAGTGGCTTTCTCCACAATCTTGCCCAGCACCCACTTCAATACAGACATTCCCCCTCAACGTGTAGGAACTTTCAGGTACTTCAAATTCCACTGGAGATGAGGAGATGGCCGGCTAAGAAAGACCTACTTGAACTTGGACGAGCCATTGTTAGGCAAATCTTGGTTCGTGTGGAGGCTGGAGACTTCAATCCACAATACAGCTGGGAAATTAATCGGCTGGGGACAATCTGGAGAGGTCGCATCAGGTTTTCTTTGTAGTACTAATTCTTGAGATGGGCTTTAGAAAAATCACAAAAACAACAGAAACAATCAGAAAAGATTTGTATTTCTACAAATGTAAGATAGAATGCCCTTAACAAAAATTTTTAGTAACAGATCTTCATGGTATTCGTCCTCTAAACTAGCTGTTTTCAATTTGTGTTCTTAAGTGCTCCTAGGATGTGCAGAGGTGCCCTGGAGCATTGGTTTGCAAAGTTTGGTTCCCAGACCAGCAGCATCAGCATCACCGGAGATCTTGTTAGAAATGCAAAGTCACAGGCTTCACCCCAGACCCACTGAATCAGAAACTCTGGAGGTGGGCCCCACATCTATCTCCAAGTGATTCTTTTTTTTTTTTTTTTT